AAATATATTACCGCTTGAATAGAAGAAACTTGAGTGTTTGAAGAAAACTGGGAGCCCTGCTTATTCAATTGCCTTATTTCTTGATGTCCAGAGTCCACTGATTCTTTGTTCTCACGAATTGTATCCCAAGATCTCTCGTCTCCAAATGAAGTAGATTGTCCTGAACGGCCACGCCAATCACGACTTTCTGGTTCAAAATAGCGACTCTGTGATTGACTTGCCAACTGGAGACACAGACAAACATAAGATGATGTCCCAAAAGTTTTAATAAATTCATGAGCATAGACAAATGGAAGATACAAAAAACAACCATTAGAAACAAGAAGCTTGCTCATGCTGCTGCACAATCTAGGATTGTGTCACTGAAAAATAAATGTCAGATCAAATGTGATAGCCTCAAAAAGTTCCACATTGGATGTGACATATAGTATCATGTGCAAATCATGACACTTAACCAAAGAGAACCTTCTTGAGGCATAGCTCACACTGTTACCAGCTTCATAATGATAAATATGACACTGGAACATCAGCTGTTCACAGAACAATGATAGAGTTGGGACCTAATATGCATCATGTGAACCTATGATCCAGCTGAGAACAATATGCCTTAATTATGAAAGGAACAGATTGTGCTTAAATTAGCCTAGGATCCCACATCACTTGCAGTAAATCTTGTGATTTAAAGGTGTGGGTAAAATCCACATGATTCTCGAATTTAGTCAGGACACCATACTTAGCAATGCTCTTTAACATGAAGTAGGAGAACATACATTAGCATCACTATGACCCCAAATCTGATTTTCGGGAAACAATTCTGCATCAATCTCCTGTTTGAGTTTCAGAATGTCCTCTGGTGTCTGCACACCCTGGCAAGAGAAAGAGTAGGATTAACAGTTATGGAAAGCTATAATTTCAAAGATATATATGATCCACCAAGCACATCTACTAGGATGGGATTAGTTTATCAAAGAAGTGTTCTCACAACTAGCTAAAATGCAGTTGATATGCAATCGATATTTAACCAATCTTGTTAGAGACTGTCATGAGTAATAAGTTCTACCATGTTCAAGAGAATCAACAGGAGATCATAATGTGATGAAAGAAATACACTTCAGAAGATGAATATTCTGGCATACCTCACGAAGTTGCAGAAGTTGGTCCTTAGTGTAATGAATGCATTCACGACTTTCAAATCTTGAGTCTCCAGTCTGACAAAATAGTGATCCAATGTTAGATGATACTCTAAAAAGTTGCTCTGACAGGTGTCCATAAGGCAATAAATAACAAGTAGAAAATTCCAAAGGGCAGCAATCACAATAACTTGAACAACATGACAAAATGGCATGCTGTACTAGTGAAATGCATATGACATATAAGAAGTCCGATAAACTCCAGAAGTTGGATAGGATATAACCAGCCCCAGTAACCTGAAGGACTGATGCTAGAATCTGTTCATAAGCACGTTACAAGGTTTAACTGCCACGAACATAAAGTATATGAGCAACTAGTCACACTGGGGAAATTGGACAAAGAGATTAACCAATCAATCTAATCATGTAATACAGAAAACAAATATGAAGATTTACAATAACATGGTTTCGACAATAAGATATGAACTTGACAGTGACAGACTAGTCAAGTTCAGTAGTAACCAAAAAGAATTCATTCACCCTAATTATAACCACACCAATTAAGAATACCAAACTTAGTCCGCATGATTTGATACCTTTTTAGAATCAAAAAGCTGGTCCCACCGTGTCAATTAGTGGGAAAGCACGATTCTGGAATAACGCAGAATGAGTTACCACCAAAAACCACAGTTTTTCCATCAAGCTCCAACCACCACAGGTAAAAGAAAGCAGATGGAACTAAAGCATATGTAATAAAGCCAATCGATGAGTCCACCAACAAATCGTAAAATCCCATCTCGCACATCGGATCAAACAATTCAAAGATGCAAGCTTTCATCAATCGAAGGAAGCCACATGTCAATTCAAAGAGTTCCCGACCGACCTTGAGCGAGATGGGGACGCCGGCGGAGGCCGAAGAGTCGAACCGGGTGCCGAAGATTCTGCTTCCTCGGCTCCCGCTGCCACCGCCGCCAGGCCTCAAGCTGATGACCGTCTGATCCGTCTGCATACCTCGCCGAATAACGTCCTCCTTCTCTGGGCGGTGGTGCGACCACGGCGGTAACCCAATCGGCTCTGCGACGGGAGGAGGAAGCGGAGGAGATGAGAGGAGGAGCTCTTGGCGAAGCCCTCTTCGCTATCGGGGGGCCGCGAAGAGAAGGGCGAGAGAAAAGGACAAGAGACGGAGATGCGGAAGCCCTTATAATTGTCCGAAAGCAACAGTGCTGTCGCCGTGTAGTTTCGTAATTATATTGACTTGTAGGGGCTATATCTAAGTCTTACAACTGACGCAATTCGTATTTTTAGCTTTAAATAGAGCAATACGTTTTATGCCCTGCTTTGCACCCCATCTGATACCTTCCTTCTTATTGCTGATATTAAGCGGGCCCCATTGGATCAATCTTCAATACGGCGTCGACGAGAACCGAGTCACGTGTTTCCTTCTCCAGTAGAGTTGTATCATTCTGCAAATAGACGAGTTTACCCTCGTGAGTGACAGAAAATATCGGATGAGTGCCATTGTCGGGCGCCTGGCGACCCCTTTGGCACGTGCTGAGTTCGTGATAACGAGGAATTAAATATAAATGTCACTAATATATATATATATATATATATATATATATATATATATATATATATATAAACGAAAATATAAGAAATCAAAATAAGTAGTATTAATTGATGAATTAAGTCAACACATTGTTGGTGCAAAAGGATAGAAAAAGATTAATTAGAATCAATAAGGTGATGTAAAGACTTTTAATTGGGTATTGATTAATTGATTTATATGAAATCAGCTAAACAGCCAAGTGAAGGAGAATTATTTTCATGGGCAAGAATTAAATTTGTGTTTTATGCATCGAAAAGATTGTAATAACTTATGCAAAAGTCAAAGTTATGAATTAAAATTATGATATTTGAATTAAAAAAGTTCTCATTGTCCATGCAAGAAACCTATGAGAAAATTTTATGTGATGGTATCTACATAAAGGAATAGGCATAGATTAATATAGAATCTCATCAAGATTATGTATTGCATAATGGAAAAGGTTCATGTATATTTGTAGATACATTCTTTCATTCAATGTATTTGGTTGGATTAAGTTTCTCTATCTACTGATTGATTAGGAAGTTTTACTATGGTTAATTTCATTGCACACCCAAACTTAAATTTGTAGGTGCAAATGTGCTTTGCCACATCTATGATGGCTAGTCCAACATAAAAAATGTACCACCTCATTGCAAGTGCTCCTCATGTTCAAAAATTCAAACTAGCACATTGGAATCTTGATGGGTTTTTTTTGGTCACTAGAAGTCAAATCTTTAGGCTTTTAATTCTATGCTCAACTGTGGCTTTTAATATATTTAGCAATGATTATAAGAATGCCTCAATGTGAGGTTTAGCAATGCCTAATCAATCACCTATCAATTTAAAGGTGCCCTAATCCTAGGGAAGGAATACTAATTAATATTTTTGTTTTGGACAACACAGGCAAAGAGACCCCATCAATAACCATTTTTAAAGAATAAATATTTCATTGTTACCTTATCACTTGGCCAGTTATTTGTTTTCTTATATACCAAGTCAATTATGAGGTTGAAGCCAATCCAAAATCCAAAACATATAGATGTTGTTGGGCCAACATTGTCTATATCCATTCATAAGAAACTTCAGTCAGCTAAAAGAAACACATTTGACATTGTGAAACAACCTTAGAAACATCAATAAGATAAAACCTTTATATTTTTTTTTCTTTATTTACTGACCCAAGATATGAGCCAACTCCCATAGGAACTAAGTATTTGGCCCTCATAAGAGACCAAAGTCTTACAAAACTCACTAACAAAAATTATAATTATAAGAATCATTTATCACTTTCCTGTTGTGGAAGTGGAGCACTATATTGCAAAAGTCATTGGTTGTCATTTAACCATCACATAATGTGTTATTTGTATGTGTAATATATTTCTTAGTCACAGTTTTTTCAAGAACAGTTGTCAAGAGCTTAGAACAAAATTAATAATAATATTTTTTTGCAAAAAAAGAAAAGAAAACAAATACAAACATGCTGTAGATAGACCCTACAGAACTTTTCAACTGGGATATGATTTCTTGAGAATTTAATGGTTTTTTTTTCTGTTATCAAGAAATTGTTAACTGTAAACCTATGTTTTGTTCTCAACTTCATACTTCCAACCCTGTGGAACAAGTTTTAGACTCCTTGTGGGCCCAAGTGTTGGATTCTTGGAGTGCTTATCATTGTCATGCAAACTTGGAGCCAAGTAGTTCTTGAGAGCAATTGGAGGGCTGAGTCAGTCTCCACTTAAAATTGGTTGGTGCAATTGGGTTGTTGGATTTTAAATTTCAAAAGTAGTTTCAAGAAACCTGTAAATACATGCACTGCAATTTTTTATTGAAAGATTAAAGAGACATGTCTTAGGTTTTATGATAGAAAGATGCTTGGGTGGAGATTTGTGATTATGATGATTTCATCATCATTGTTATAGTATGCTAACATATTTGGTATTGAGATTAATGTTTCACCTCAGAATTCTAATGTCCACAATTTGAACAATATTCTTTCCCAGGCTATACAAGTTGATAAAAGCAACAATATTTGATTAGCAGTTTGAAGGTCCCAATGACCTGTTCTTTGATGGCAACCTATACTCAAGAAAACCAATGAGATAACACAAAATACATAATTGTCAAAGATCAAATTTAGTGAACTTCCAAAGGCCTTATCTTGGTTATGCCATTGAACAAAACTCATACACTGCAGCATCTCAACATCACTATCATTGTTTACATCATACCAATTACAATTAATTTGGATGTACATTCAAATTTGGATTTTATACATACACCCACACACAACTCAAAATTTGTCATACCAACATACCAAGCACAGTAGAAATCATAGAGGCAATCTGAGCTGTAATTACCAAGTAAAAAATAGAAAGATAAGCAAAACACAACAGAAGTTTGTTCATTATCTCACAAGGCTCCTCATACTCGATCATGAACTTTACAAATATTTCCGCCAGTAACTATCAGCTAGACCAGCAGCAACAACGATAATTGTATTATCATGAACTGCAAGTAGCAATTCTGCCATTCATTGTAGAGATGAAAAGCAAACCATCTCTCTAGATGGCCATCTCAGCTTGTAATTCTGAAAGTTCTTCTTCAGGAGGCGTTTTCTGTGGATCTGGCTGAGTTGGTTGTCTATGGACAGGAACATGCACTGAAGGAGCAGGAGCAGTTGTTGCTGGCTGAAGTAGTAGTTCCTCCAGTTCATCAGCCTCCAGCTCTTCAAGTTCTGCTTCCAATTCATCCTGAAATTTCAACATGGCTTATCAATCGACATGCAGGAAAACAGCTATCAAGAAGAAAATGGAAATAGTTCTAAGGATTAATACTTCATCAAAATCAGCTGCTGCTCCAATAGGAGCAGACAAAGCTTCCTGAATTTGTTTCATTTCCTGTGTCTGCTCATTGATTTCATCCAGTGTCTTATCCACATCATCAATATTACTGTAACAGAAAGCAGAATCAATTAGTCACATATCTCTTCTAAAAGACAACATATAAGAATTACAAGATTCAGTTCAGAGGACAATGAATGACCAAATTAAGCATGATTCACGAGTTGGACATTCCATCATACAGCATGTGCGCAAGCTCAACAATTCAGTAGAGGTGATAGTTCAATTATTAATTTGTTTTGTGCAACCCTAACAGCACAGATAAGACATGCTCCTATCCACCAAAGCAATAATGAATGAGACAAAAGTCCAGGGAAAAACCATATGCAATGTCCAGTTGAACTTCAAAATGACCTACTCACGTATCTTTCAGCATAGCCTTCATAGCTGCTGCTCCAGTTCTTAATGCATCAACAGTCTCTGTTGTAGATTTTGCACCTTCCAACAATATAATCTGAGAAATAACCAAACCTCAAAGTTAACTACTTGATTCTGAGGCACAACCTCAGTGAAATCCATCTTTAACTAAAAGAAACCTGATCATGAATCCGCAATTGGTAGTTCCCAAGCCTCTCAACTTCTTGCTCATGAAGTTTTTTCCTTCTCAAGCATTGTATAGCAGCTGCAATTGGCACAAAATTATATTAAAAACACTCAAATTTACAAAAAATGGCAAATATCAACATATCCTAATTTTTTAATCTTGATAACCAACAACGGAAAAAGGATTGATCACAAGATGTGTTTGATAAACAACAACTAATGATATCCATCCTTTGCACTCTGGGTTTCTCAAACACAGAAGACACAGAAATAGCCATCAGATTAAACTCTAAAACTCAAAGGAACTCACTTGCATAACAGATATGAATGAGTTTCTACAGAAAAAGAAAAAGACATGTTACATATATCTTATCCTTATGGGACCTGTGACACAAACTTGTTCTTTTAGAAAAATTGATGACATAGTTTTGGTATCATGGAAAGCCATATCTAGGTAGATCATTCTACCAACTAACACCATCAGCATCATAAAGGCTCACCTCTCTTGTTGTTTTCTCTGGTGAACTCCTTAGCTTTCTCAACCTCAGCAGCCATCTTCTTCAGAAGAAATTGCTCCCTTTTCTCTAGCATTTTGAGTTTCTGAATTATATAAAACACCAAGGATGGGATCAAGTATCAGTGTGCTATATACAGTAATTACTTTACATGTTGCATTAAATAACCAGATGTGCATCACGTTAATGTGACAACATTCTTGGTGTCATCAAATGTATAAATCAGTAAGTGCAACAAAGTTGAAAACACAAGAAGATAAATTTGTTATGAGTCTCGTATATAAATCTGTAACTATAAAAAAGTTCAGAACACAAATAATGTGACAGTACATGAGAGCATAGAATTCCATATTGCATATGAGATCTTCCTTCACATATCACAACCCCCCTCTCAAAGGTAAGTATTCAACGACGACAAAATGTTCCTAACATATAAAATCAAAAACAAGGAAAACCAGAATTACCTCATTGAGTTCTTCCAGTGTAGCCAAGGTATTTGGCTGCTCCTTGCGCTTTCCGAACAGCCAACTAAACATCATGATGTGCTTCCTCCTATTGATCTTTAATCTGCAACAACAAAAATGTGATCATCTTTCCTATACAATTAAATTAATTTTATTCAAGCAAAAATATTTGAATATGGTCTCAAAGGATGAAGATGTTCTCCATGCAGAAATGAGGGGAAAAAATTGGACATCAACATGAAAACAAATTATTTCCTTTAATCAAAGGTCCCTAAAGCATAAATATCATGAGAGTTAATCTACAAAATCGTGCAAGAACTACCATAATTAGTCTAAAACAAAAATTTTATCAGAATCATAATTTAATATGTAAAATAAATTTAATAATAAAATTGTGCATGAATAATATATTTTAAATTCTAAAAATAATGAGCAAACAATATTTTGAAAATAGGAAATAATTGCAATCATAAGCAAATGAAATTATGAATTAAAACTTCAAAAATAAAAATAATTGATAAAGAGAGAGTAGGAGAAACTATCTCTCACCAAGCTCACCAAAATGAAGATGCTCCTCCCTCACAATCCCTATTGACAGACAAACCTAGGCCAGTATTGATGAACACAAAGGTTTGTTTGTCATTAAATTAGAGAGGAAAGATGATTTCAATAAGGAAAGGAATAATTAATTCTTATATCTAATAATTAGTTAACTATTTTATTTTATTTCTAACTTACCCACATGAATTAAGAATTATATTTTATCAGAGAAATAATTTTCCTTATTATATGACCCATGCAAGGAAACAAATTAACCTATCTGAGGTAAAATTCTAATTATAGATTTTTTAAGTTTTAAGCAAATAAGGATTTAAAATTTAATAATAAAACAATGCAACAATAACATCTTTTTAATCCTAAACATCATCAACGGTTAATATCAAAATTCTATAAATAGAGAATAATTGAAATAATGAACAAAGAATATTATGAATTAAAATTCTGAAAATAAAAATAATTGACAAGAAAGAGTTGAAGATCCTACCTTCCACCAGGTCCTCCCTTATGATCTTCTGCTAACATATAACACTAGGTCACCCTCGATGAACAAGGGTTATCCATTAAATATGAGAAGAGGGAGAGTTTCTCACTAAAAAAAGAAATAATTAATTCTTATCCACATGATTCAAGAATTAGATTTCAAGTGAGAATTAATTTTCCTTGTTAAGATAGGGTAAAAATATAATTATAAAATTTTTAAATTTTAAGAAAAAATGGATTTAAAATTTTCAGTGATTACACAACCCGTGGAGGATACCAAACACAGAATATTTTTAAACATATAAATGTATTTTTTATTTTTTATTTATCAAAACAACAATAAACTACTACTTTGACTCTTTTCTGGTTCGTAAGGAAAACACAATAGAAAAATCTTGTTAGGACAAAATCTTCTTTTCCTATTCTTATGGAAAGAATTTTCTTGTGAAAAGAAAATTCAGAAAGAGAAATCTGATGAGGAAAATTTTTTTTAATAATATATTTTATTCTCCCATTACATTTTTATTAACATTTTTCATCAATTATTTATTTATGTATTTAATTTTCTTTTCTTTTCTTAAGGAATTTTGTTGGCACATGATCCACACAAAGAAGGAAAGATAAAAGAGGAAATCCAATCTGCGAAAAGGTCAGGGAAATATTTGCATCATAGCATGATTTTTTTAATAACAAAATAAAAAAAATACAAACTATCACCTATTGATTCAGATCAAGGAAGCAACAATCAAATAAAAGAAAGATGGTTCACAAGTTGATTGAGGTAGATTAACTTGGGAGTAGAAATAGCTTTGAAAAGAATGTAGCATCATTCAGAACATTCTGTATATGCAGCAGTAATGGCACTCATCGATTATATGCATAGGCTTTCCTCAGACTGGATCACTTTTCCGGAATGTGGGCATATCATAAGCATGATAATTTTTCTCAAAATGTCAGATACTTATTAAATGGGGTTACCCACATTTTTGCAGATCAACTGTACCAGTGCAGTTGCAAATCAATCATCCATGAACACTGATATACTGTATCAAGTAATAAAAGTAACAACATTAAAGTCCACTACGGGTTTCTAAATTGAATTTTCAAGCACATCTTTTTCACTAAACTGAAGATTCAATAAAAACAAAAGACAATGATTTACTATGCAGAAAATCATTGCACAACTCAAGCCATACCACACCACTCCTAGCAAGATGGCTAAACGCCAGTATGCATAAGGTGTATGTACATAGAAAAGGGGAAACAAAAAGGAAAAGAAGAGCATGGTTTACAAACAATTCAACACAGCCATCTTACACTTAATGCCAACAAATCCTAGACTTGTAACTAAAATTTTGTAAACCAGCTACAGAAAAAAGCAATATCAAGTTAGTGACCTAACGGTGTCTTTGTCAAGGCTGAACCTTGGTGATGGTATATTCTGTATCTCATCTAGCCATATCCTCCATTAATTTCTTCACTGTTGTTGCAGCATTGATTGGACTATCAACCCGAGTAGCAATGTCATAAACTAGAATCTCCAGTTCCTTCGACACAACTTTCTTTTTAGTGTAGTCATCTCGGATCCAAAAGGTTGTGAGCCCGCTCCCAGGCCTTCTTTGTGCCCTCCAAAATTAACAACATAAGTCCTGGAATTGGACCTTCTTTTAGGATAAAGATCCCCATATGTTTCCTGGCAACTACTGCACAATGAAAGCAACACTCCATCAGCATATTCTGCGTTGAGCAATGAACCTTCTTCAACAGTCTCTACCAGTGTTAAAATCCCTACCTCAAATTCTTCAGTTCTGGACAGGATTTCCAATAGACCAGTGACCTTCTCAACAAACTTAGAGTATCTCTTGCAGTCCTTTAAAAGGGTCAGGAGAAGCGTAACTGCTTCTGAGGGAAGAATAAAATTGGAAATGTTTTCACAGGGAGACAGATTATACAAGGCTGTGGCAGCATCAACCCTTACTTGAATACTACCTGCAATGAGTATTTGAACAAGAAGGGGCACTGCTCCGTAGGTGGCAATAGTTGGTTTGTTAGATGTTGAAGCTGAGAGCGTCAGCACTGCTGCAGTGGCTCTCTTAGATTGTTCTTCTGAGACCTGAGGAACTCCACTAGATGCGGCACAGCACGACTCTTCACTATTCTATCCTTATTTCTGACAAGAAAAAAATATCTTAGTAGAAATCAATGTTTCAACAAAAAAGTGAAAAATAAATTAAAAGTACACTAGGAATAGGTGTTCAATACTTCTATCCTACTTGTTCATAATTCAACCAAATGCATGCAACTTTCACTATGTTAACTGAATTACAACAGCCAACACTATCAATACCATCAAAGCAATTGAAGCATCTTAAAGTATCTATGCTAAGCAAATGATTAAAAAAATCACAGAAACACACAAAATATATGAAGTAACAAAATGTATGTTTGCAGAACTAAAACCCAATGACCAAAGTAACCATAACTATTTGTGAGACGAATTCCACAGTATAACAAAACTACAATATATTAATAAAAAATAATACAGTAATATTTAAGGTATCATATCACTAATACTTATTCCAAACAAGAAGCTAATAATAGTTGTAAGTAGTAAATAACTACAAGTACTAATGCTGGTGTATTTCTTTGACAGAAAAGCAGCCTTGTAAAAAGGAAAATCTCCATTTTCAATAGATCAACAATAATTTATTTAACTTCTCAAGTTTCTTTTCGTCCTAATACTCTTGATGCATAAAACTAGTAAGAACAAAATAATTCATTCTAAAAATTTCTTTTAAAATCAGAGAAATAAAAAGCAAGTTAATCTTATTCAACAAACTGACAAACATTTGACAACAGAAATTAATTTAGTTCTTGCAAGGTTTTACAACCTAAAGATAAGCCCAGAAAAGGTACTGAACTAAAGAAGCACATGGCACTCTTAGTTCCAATGTTCAAGACGGATGGAAATAAGATCAACTAAATAATTTCAGGCACATGTCATGTTGGGTCAAGGGTAGTTTTGTGAAAAAAAAAAGTAAAACAGGTCAACTCTCTTGTTGGTCCGGCAATTCACAAGAATAACTAACTCCAACAACCCAAATCAGACAAAGAAACTCACACGACGCTATATGATCCTTGATGCCAATCTGAAACCTTTGCTAGCTACTCTATATCATCAAAATTCCTGCCACCTTGAACACAGGTACCTCAGCAACTTTACAAATGAATACATGGTGAAGGTAACAATAGTCAGTAAGTGACAGGCAGCATCTGGACTTAAGAAGAGTTCAGGTACTAATTTCGGCAGATCGTAATTCAGAATGTTGATTTCGCAATGTCATTCATAAACATCCATTGCGATGGCAAAGTGTTCATGGGCTAACAGATGTCATAATGTACCAATACTTGAGATATCAGGTTGCTTAAAGTTAGCACAATATGTTTAATTTACAAAATTTTGTGCTAAAAAGGTTAACAATTTAGTCATCACCTTAACAACTAAGTAGTTCCTTGACTTGTAATAAAAAAAATTCAAAGCACAGGACACATGATTCATAAAGCTACTCCACAAGAGATAAGATGCTAAGAAGACATTAGAACAGTAAGAATGAGGTAATTACAACGTCAGCTGTAACATGAAACTTAGCCTGCAATTGCTTGTTTCTTTTTCGGAAAACAAATCAAAGAAGCTAAATGTCTTTACGATCCTCAAATAAGTCGATAAACACGAGATTCCTCAATTCCCAATCATTTGAAGGTTATCTCAACAAGCCCCAAGTGCAGACAGGGAAGGCAAACACCCATTGAAATCGCAACCCTGCTCGTTATCAGCTTTGATTTGCCCAAGAAAACTTGGACGCAAATTCTTGTAAGGATTTTCACAATTAAATGACGGATGATCCTCAAAACATCCAGATCAGAAATGTCCTCTGAGGGGAAGAAGAAGAGCAGATCGGTGAACTCACTCACCGCTCGTTGCGGACGGCGAGGTTGAGGAGAGCGAGGAGGGCAGCTTCCCGGTTATCGTGGTCAGGGGCGGGGAGCATGGCGACGAGCGGCTGGACGACGGCGGCGACGGCGAAGGCGGAGCGGGCCTTGGCCGACGCCCGGGAGAGCTTGCGCACCTCCCGCGCAGCCGAGTCGCCGCTGGAGAGCCGCCGGGCGAGGTCCTGCACCGGCGCCTGCTCACCTCGCCGCCGGGGTCAGGGTCGGGGCCAGGGCTCGGGATCGGACTGGGACTAGGAGGCGAGATAGAGTTAGGGATTTGGCACATCGCTACCTCTTCTTCTCTTCGCTTCGTCGATCGTTCTTCGATTGCTTCGCGGGAGAGCGAGGTGCCGCCGCGACAACTGCCAGATGGTGGGTAGCACGTGCCGCGTGTTGCTTATGTCATTGTTGCTATAACAGATGCAAAACGAACTGATACGTGGAAAAAAAAAATACAGAATAATTTATCGGAAAAAATCTGTCAAAATTGATTTTTTTTTTTACTTTCAGAATTTAGGAAGAGCACTGCTAAGACATTGTTATATGATTTTATAAGGTTTGAATATGAATCTAATTTAAATTTTTTTCTAAAATTTTAAATTAGTATAAAATATATTTCTAACTTAGTCAAGCTTTTTATATATCTAACCCTTTGTCAAAAAAAAATATTTTATATCCTCAAGTACTTTTTATCTATCTACATTAAAGGACAACTTTATAGCATATGTTAACAGTCTATTCTTTTAGCTGCTGATCACTGAAGGGCCATTTACAGGCCATTCTCCATTTCTTCATGGTGTTCTTGGTCTTGCAATCAAGACTTTTGCTCTCCAGCTTCGTTTCAGAAGATGGAACCAAGAATAAAAAGCATATTCACCAGTAAGCATTCAAAATGATTGAAACGAAACAATCTGTGCATTGAACAAAGATTGGCATGGCAAGCTCTTCATTCTGTAGCTTCAGCTAGTTTTGCAAGAAGCATCTTATTTTCGTTGAAGAAGGTGGTTCTTTGAATCTTCTCTGGTTGCTGTGTGGATATGACTATAGTAACACGAGTATTTCTGAAAATGTCTCCACTTTCATTCCTAACTCGAAAGAAAGTTTCATTTTAGCTTTTGTTTTGCTGAATTCTGAACTCATCTTTCAGGGCAATGTATGTATGCATAATGAGATTGATGTATCAATCATTCTCATGTTACCCAAGTGGTCACTTAGCCACTAAAAGGGACTGCTGAGGGGGGAATTTGATGATGGTAAGAACCATTCAGACACCAAAGAGATTCTTCCTATAGTTAAAGTCAGGTGATGTGCCACCACTTTAATCTGCTTTTGTTCAATCCTCTGATGACAGTCTCATCAAGGGGTTATTGTCATCCTCACCAAATCGTAACAGGCACAAACATGTGATTGAGGAGCCATCATTCAGTGCACTTCCACATTGACTATTGACAAGGTCTGCAAAAATCTTGTCATCCTCATCAAATCCAAAGTCATCTGGTTCAGCTGAAGTTGACTTCCACTCCAATCTTCCTCTGCCCAAGCAATTCATAGCATTTGATGAAATGCTTCAGCTCTTTCTCCAAAGTAGAATTCCAGTGACCACAGTTAGTGAAGAAGCAAAAAATCACAGGATCATTGACCACATAAAAGTCCACCCTAAGAGGTGACATGTGGAATTGTCTCAGGAACAGGATGAAGGATGTAAGAGAATGAGCCCTTTTGAGGTATGGCCCCATGCCCAGAAAGAAAAAAAATGTCTCTTTCCATTTGAATTGATATCATATCATCACTTCTTCAAGACAAAGCTAAGAAAGCAACACTCCACTGTCCACCTTTGCACTCCAATAAAGGCTGGAGGTCCCCATGTCAGATGATAAGCTTAGACAGTACCAAAGTCATCAGCTTTTGATAAACAAATGGAGCAGCAACCCCCTCTTTGCCTGATGCTTCAGCAGATGCAGATAGCAAGACTCCCCCATGCCATAATTAACAGGAGAGGCCACATAATGACTGATGAATGCTTGAAATATTCACAATTTGCCTTTGATTCTGCATAAAATCTTGCAAGAAATGTGTCAAGTTACTGAATTCATGTGTTCTAATCATTCTTTATTGCAGATATGCTGAAAGAAATCAAACTACACACATTTATAAGGCAGATGATTGAAGTACTACATCTTATATCTTTGCTATTCTGATCTTAAGCAGAAAATGACAGTAGTAGCCACTCCTAGTAGATGTTATTTGTTTGTTGTCTGACTAAATAAAGGGAGAGTAGCAGAGCCTTTACATGCTGAAATTATTGACCATCATCAATGTTCCTGAGTAATCTTCTGAAATTATTGAGTATCATTAATGTTCTTGAATGCATCAGTGGGATCAGAAAGGCTGTGCAGTCATTTATTTTCAATCTTCGATTTGATATTTGAATGTATACATTGATCACACATCAAGGAAAATAATAGGGGAGTGTTCATGGTGCCATTTGCAGCGAGAAATCACAAAATTGCCACCATGGTATCCGGGTTGCACGTGATCCGCATCTAAAATCACGTGCTCCAATACCATTTCCTTCTTTCTTTTTTTTCTTTTAATTATTTTCCTTATTATTATTATTATTTGTTATATGCAATAATAATATTATTATTTAAAATCCATCTCACTCTTTTTAGACTTCCCCCGTAATTTTATCCATTTTAAAATGGTAACTAATGCTTCTATTTCTCCTTCCCCTCTCCCGTCTCTTCCTTCCATCGATCGAGCTCGCCCGAATCTGGAGAGCAAGCCGAACCCTTTCCCTCGAATCATATCCTCCTAACCTTGCCGTCTCCCTGGAGTGCGATCAAAATCGCTCCTTTCGATCCTTTTCGCGGCGAATCTGACGATCGGAGGTGCGTTGGAGAGACGAGGAGCGTAAAGGTCGGGCCTTTGCGGGTGCTCTGGGGTGGGAGATGGGCGGGGTAACGTCTTCGGTGGCGGCGAAGTTTGCATTCTTCCCGCCGAGCCCGCCGTCGTACGGGGTGGTCGTGGCGGACGCGGCGGCGGGGCGGCTGGAGATGACGGAGGTGCCGGCGCGGGAGAACGTGGAGGTGCGGCGGCTGCGGACGAGGCGGGGGACGGAGATCGTCGCCATGTACGTGAAGAATCCCGCGGCGAGCCTTACCGTGCTCTACTCCCACGGCAACGCCGCCGACCTCGGTCAGATGTTTGAACTCTTCTGTGAGCTCAGCAAACACCTTTGCGTCAACCTCATGGGGTGAGGGCCTCTCTCTCTCTCTCTCTCTCTCTCTCTCTCTCTC